TCAAGTGCAAACACTGTCGATGTAGTCACACCATACGAAGTAAGGCGATTTGAAACATATACCTCATCTTACAACTCAAAAAGCCCATGTGACGAGACGTCGTGAGCCTCAAAATTCTTCAAAATATAACAGCACATACCTTGTTAGGCAAACACTAACCACAACATACATACATACCAAATAAATTATAATCCCATTACTAATTCGAAAGAAAATATATCTGCTATCTAATTGTAAAAAATTGAAGAATAAACCTGAAGAAAGGGGAAGGAAGGGGTTTGGGAGAGGCAGAGTAGGAAAACAACGAGATCCTGTGCCGCAGATTTTAAAATTTGTTGTATGATGATTCGTTTTTGTTTCGTCTCTTATATTAATATATAGGTCAGATACCCATTCATGTTTTTGCAATAACACCGTTGGTTTTATCTCATAGATTAAGTTTAGTTATTATCCATATTCAATGATAATTCATTTGCATCAAAGTAGTAACTGCACCATAGTTGCTGTCATATTTATAATTGTAGTTCTAACTAAGCTTTCTTAAGATTATTCATTGAACATACTGATATGATTGGAGAAGCCATTTCAACTCGTTACTTAACGGCAGTGATTCCAAATACTGTTTTATTGGTAGAAGAATAGTGAGGACGGAGTGGGTGGGATGAGGTAGTTGTCTCTTCTTGTGACCTGTTGAATAAAGAGAACAATAGAGACAGTGATCGAACTTATTAAATTATTAAACATTCCAGTAAACATTGCAACTAAAAAAAAAAAAAAAAAAAAAAAAAAGAAAAAAAAAAAAAAAAAAAAAAAAAAAAAGAAAAAAAAAAAAAAAAAAAGAAAAAAAAAAAAAAAAAAAAAAAAAAATGAAGTATGTTGACAGTCAGGAAGTTATCTCTTACAGATGGTTTTACTGTGTTCTAGTTCAAAGAAACTTTTGCCTAACAACATTGCTTGATAATTTACCGGTCATATCCCTAGTGATAGGCCTTAGACACAGTGCACATGTATTGAACTTATTTAAGGTACGCATCATTATCACCAAAGAGAATTCTATGCATTTCTTTTGTGTTTTTAGAAATGGCTTCTAGTTTATTATTTGATACACCTCCCCAAACAGATATTCCATAACATAGTTGTGATCAAAAAAGGGTGTGGTACAGTCCTTATAGAGTGTTTTAGGTACACACGACCTGATTCCCACATATTCTACCGATCTCAACATTTCATTACGATTCAACGCTCGTCAGTGATCATCCCAGTTCAGTTTTTGGTCCAATAATGAACGCCAAGAACTATTTTCCTCTACCTTTTTAATTATTATATTTATTCAGTTGCAGTTTCTAATTCCTTAGTGTTTGAATCATGGTTCATTTTCTACAGTTCGTGCTTAAAGTGAAATAACAACATTTTCCATTGTGTTGATATCAGCAAGTACTCTTCATATTTGATGAACAAGTTTTAATGAATTGTTTATGCTTGCATGTAAAGTGTTTTTATACATTTAACTACAACAAAGTAGTTGGTGTCATCGGCAAAAAAAGTATAAACTTACCTAGGTCTGAATACCTCTATAAATTTCATGATGTAGATAATGAAAAGCAATGGACCTAATACTTGACACCCTGAGGCACACCAAATATTACAGACAGTTTTTTCGGATTCTCACCAAGTACAGAAACATATTGCTGCCTATTAGAGAGGTAACTGGCTATAAATTTATTTGCAGACTCGAATTCCATAATCTATCAGTTTTTTAAGCAGTTTATCATGACAGATTGTATCAAAATCTTGTACTGAAAATCAATGAAGAAGCCTATTAACAATGAATTTTATCTCTCTAGTGATTTTTCAATGTATTCGACAAGGAAGTCAAGTGCGGCTTTTCGAAAGATTTTTCTGAATCATATTGATTTTCATATAATAATCCTTGCGACTTGGAAGAAACTGTAAAGCCCTTGAGAATATCAATGACAATTGAATATTTCTCAGCGTACGGTTTTGGTGAGGGTTAGGGTTCAACGTTGTTATACATTATAGGGTCAAAGTTAGACTAGAGGTTGTACACTGATTGACATTTTTGAGGTAATGGTTTAAGGTTTATCACTAGCGACCTTATACACCACACTTACACCACACTTACACCACACTTACACCACACTTACACCACACTTACACCACACTTACACCACACTTACACCACACTTACACCACACTTCCACCACACTTCCACCAAACTTACACCACACTTACACCACACTTACACCACACTTCCACCACACTTCCACCACACTTACATCACACTTACACCACACTTCCACCACACTTACACCACACTTACACCACACTTACACCACACTTACACCACACTTACACCACACTTACACCACACTTACACCACACTTACACCACACTTACACCACACTTACACCACACTTACACCACACTTACACCACACTTACACCACACTTACACCACACTTCCACCACACTTCCACCACACTTCCACCACACTTACACCACACTTACACCACACTTACACCACACTTAAACCTCACTTACACCACACTTACACCACACTTACACCACACTTACACCACACTTACACCACACTTAAACCTCACTTACACCACACTTACACCACACTTAAACCTCACTTAAACCACACTTACACCACACTTACACCACACTTAAACCTCACTTACACCACACTTACACCACACTTACAACACACTTAAACCTCACTTATAGTTATACCACACTTACAACGCACTTAAACCTTACTTACACCACATTTAAACCTCACTTACTTGTCTGAAGGGAGATAGAATTGATCCACAAAACCGCGAACTGCTCTTCATTTCAAAAACTGGAGTCTCTGATACCTATACTAATTAACTTATGATTCGATTATAATTAATTGACGAAAAAGGATAACAATAATAATAAAAACAATATTATTAATGTGCAAATAGGGCGAAATTCGACTAAAAAGTAAATACTTAAAGCAGAGGAACAATTTACTTGACGGATGTTACTCGTCTAAATTTCTTCGAAGTTGACCATTGCTAATGATTTGGCCCGGCGCGCGCTACTTCGTAGCACTTGCCATCGAGAAGAAAGCGGCGCGCGCTACTTCGAAGAAATTTAGACGAGTAACATCCGTCAACTTCGAAGTAGCGCGCGCCGCTTTCTTTTCGAAATGTTATATGTTGGCCCGATGGCAAGTGCTACGAAGTAGCGCGCGCCGGGCTAGATCATTAACGATGGTCAACGATTTACTAACAATTTCTCAATTATACATTAAATATTGCAAGCGGAAATTGTGGAAATTGTGCGGATCAGCAACCGTAATTGATAAATGATCGTCATACTTGTATTTATACCGTCACTAGTGCAATATCTTTAAAAGTTTGAACATATTGCATGCTGTATATTACATTGGCAAATCCAAAATGGCAACGTCAAACGTTTTGCCTACACCATACACATCATTTCACTTAACCATGTGCTTTCGCGCCACTGCGGGCGCGCTTGTTTCACAAGTCAAAATAGGCGGGGGCGCGCTACTGCAAGCGCAAGGGCTCTGGATAGAGCAACACATCATTATTGACTCAAATAAAATAAAATATACATATATTATACTTAATTGACAATGTAGATGTCAATTCATCGCAGCTCGGCGAGGCACAGTAGCGCGCATTTTGCCGATCTAGCGATCTCGCTGCGAGTTAAGCCTCATTGAGTGCGCGCGGGCGCGGCACAGTAACGCATTGCGCTACAAATATTATACTAGTAATATTATATAACGCGCCCTTGTTATAGTTGTAGTACAGTAGTTGTTGTAGGTTTACAACCTACCAGGACGCGCGCCGAGTTGGAACAAATATTTATTTACGAGTATCACCCGTTAAAGTAGTTGTAGTTCAAGTATGTACATCTGACATATTATATGACTGCTGACATCGAGGTACCCTTGTCATCTGTACAACGCAGTTGTTAAAATTGTCTCTATTATCTCTAAAATTGAAAATGCAGAATAGCCCCCACGTGCATGTTTGGTTTGCTCTATCCAGAGCCATCTCGCTTGCACTTGCAATAGCGTTCGACCGTGAAACTGAAACAAGCGCGTCCGTGAAACAAGCGCGTCACGCAGTACGCGTAGACTCATGGCTAGGTGAAATGTTTGGTGCACTTTAGAGATTACTTTGCACAAATAAAAATAATCAACCCCTCTATTACTATAACTTGGTCCCCTGTGGCTGTACAACTACAACGCAGTTATGTTACGTAAAATCTTTCATCCCGCGTTATCAGTTATACTTCAAAATGATTTTAAGTTCGAGTTTGAATTCTCTTTTGAATTTGGATACCATTTGTGAATTTAACTTAAATACAAACAAGGAAAACGCACCATTTTCTTTTCAATTTTCTATCAAATATATCATATATTACACTGAAAATCGATCACAAATACGCATAACAGGTTGACTTGATATAACGGCTAAAGCACAGTGAAAATTCCCAACAATTAGCCAGTCTCAATTTACACACTGAACTTACAAGTCAAACATTCCAAAGAACATGAAGTTCAAGATATTTACAAAAAATACGACCAAAAGCAAAGAAATTCGAACACCAACATATTGTAGGAAATTTGAAAACTGAAAATAGTATCATGCGTTAGTATATATCAATCAAGTATTCGATGATCTGCCAGACTATTTTGATTTAATCTATTTTAGTGACCTACTTATATTGTTTGGTCATATCAACCCGAATATTACAAGAAAATTCAAAATTAACAACACGAAATTCGCCCCATTCTATACACCAATATCTACCAAACCTTATTAACTATTCTTTAGTTTACATTTGATACATTATGCTCAGGCAAAACTATAAGTAAAGCTGATACCACGTGGTATCATGAAATCGATGCTAGATCATGGCAAGAATATTTCGAACTATTACGAGAAATATCTAGACATAAGCTATAAATTGGAAAAAATGCATCTCATTAATACAAATACAGAACTGAACGCATACAACATCATACAATATACCTATATCAATACTCAAAATAACGTAGAAACATATAATAGTACCCGAATCAACATATTATATTTATACATCACCCAAAAAGCGTTTAAATCGTCATTAAATTGAAATATTATGATCATGTTCCTCATCAAGTAGGATAAATATTAAACAGTTGTATCCGAACAAAAAATCCGTCGAAATTTGAGGAAATTCTGAATTTCGACACTCATTATATATAGTTGTGAATGTAAAGTAAAATCTCATTTAACATTGGAATGGTAATGAACATTCTGAAACTCCGTAGAACGTAACATGAAAATAAGCACTGCCGAAAATAATGATACGTTAAATTGAATGAAGCTGTGAAAACCTTAGTGACACACATGAAAACCCTTGTTGCTGAACTAGAAGTATAACTAAATTTTCAGTCGGAAAATATTGAATTGGGAAATTATACCGCATTTATCTGGAAAACAGATAAAAACATCGTATAATATAAGCGTTAAAAATGCAGTATAATTGCTCAAAATTTTCCACAAAATGGTAATTAAGTACCAATATCTAATTAAAACCTACGCCGAATAATTTAAACTAAAACTTTTGGTATGGGAACTCAAAGCGGTAACGTTGATAAAAAGCTATAACTATATTAAGTATATGCAGAAATTTTGGGGAAATGAACCGATCCAACGTTGATCCATATTTATGCAGTATGGTAGATTTTGCTGGATATGGTCCATTTTTAAGCGGGGTGCTGAAAGGGGCTGTAATTTACCTGGGCCATGGGACCCGACTTTCCAACGAAATTGATCTTCCAGGTTCATCCAAAATGGTGGTAAAATTTTGATAGTACTTCTTCGTTTTGTGGTAAATTTGTTCTAAATTTGTGGGAGCCGTCCTTTCAGCAGCAGTGCTCTGAAAATGGTGGGAATAATAGCGATGATAGGTTAAAAACCCAGCAGTGGAAACCGACGAATTTCACAACAAAATATATAATATATACATATTATTATCATATATGAATATCTTGGACGGTAAAGTAATAGGTTTGTTATACAGCCAAACCGAGTTAGTGGTAAATCGACACATTTCGAACTGACAATACATTCGAACCGTCCTGTGCCGAGAGGTCGGACTGTATGAGACGCCTTGCTGTCAGCTATGATGACGTCACAAATTTGTGACGTCACTTTGACTGCAAGGACGTCATAATTCATAATTCATACCATTCAACTTGGCCCCTTCAAAATACTATATCTTGAACCTGGCGTTCTATAAATGTAGCTTGCGCGTTAAAACTTCTCGAACGTAACGAAAATATAATCATATATACTCTCCACCAGGCATCAATCGACGATTCAATTACAAATTACATAATTATGCTCATTGCTTCAATTACATCATTGTACTCCTTCAACGAACATCGGACTGCTCAACTTAACAGACTTATTCGAGCTTCAGAGACTAGCCCTCATCATTGGCCATTGAGTTCAACAAATTGCATTGTGAATTAAAAGCTAAACTTTGACGCGGGAAACCGGTAAAAGTCTACATCATCACCTGGCCACAGTGACATTTGTACATTTATCATGTCACGTGACCAGATCGTGACAAGTACCGCGTTACCCGTGACGCGTGAGATATCTTCACTGGACTACCTCTACTTTCTCGTTGGGATTAGGGATGATGTACTGAGCCAGGTTGATCTCCTTGCAGGGTGCAGTCTTGTGGGCTTGAGGGTATGTTTGGGATCCCTTGGTCCAGGGGTGCTCGAGGATGTCCTTGGTTGTGGGCCTCTTGTTGGGGTCGATGTTCATACAGCGGGCCATCAAATCTGTTAATTCTGAAATAAAAGGTGGGTTAGTTTTTATGAGTGGGTTATCTTACAGAGAATTCTGTGAATGAGAATGTATTTGGTATTTTGCAAATTTATAGCTTTGTGCGTGTGTGAATTTTATGTCGTTATTAAATTTTATTAACTTGATGATAGATATTGGGTTGTAATCACTATAAAGCATAACTTAGATAACTCATGTTTCCTTTAAATTATCCGAGAATAGACCTGCCTACATAAAGTTGTCGCAGTCGATTCTTGCACACCACGCACGAAAAGGCTAAATTTGAATCCGACATCCGGTTATCATTAGCTCGCATATAATCACAGCGCTAAGTTCGGACGACTCATTAAAATTCTAAATTTAACATTCTCCAAAAAAAAGCCCGATGTTTATACGCTGAAATGCTGTAATGTCTTTTGAGCAGTGGTGAGCAAACCATTCATGAATGTCTTGACTAACAATGCCCCATTTTAAATGTCTAAAGTTTCTTTTAACGGTACTATTTAAAGAACTAAATTGAAAAATTGTGATTTATTTTTATAAGACAACAAAGTGAAAATACTTGTTTCGTAGACAACCAACAATAATGTTTACCGCTGAATTGTTGATAATCAAGCCCACAAGAAATCTAACCAAAATCTTTCATTATTTCCCAGAAAGTTTACAGTTATCAAGAAACATGGATAATTCAGTCGCTTTTTGAACTGTTGAAGTGATATGTATGTGTTTATTGGAACTTCATTAGCTAAAACTTAGTAAATTTCTAGGGTTTTAAATCTATTTGTTCTGTAAATAGAACTCAGAACTCCCAAATTTCCTACATCATGACATAACCATGACATAACCACAGAACTACACGACTCCAACCATTCACACAAGCAGCTGATAATAACCGTTCATATCCGGCGGAACACAGCTGCATATGGGCTACTGGGACACGATACTACGTCATACTGCTACCACTCTCTCTCAGCAATCATACGACCCGGATGTTCCACTTGGTCCCACCAACCAGGACACGGCCATATAACAGCATACTACAATCTAATATAGGAGATGACGTTACCCATATCTTATTCATGGGAAAGTTGCCGTTGTTTTTGCTGGGACATGTGCTCCACTGTCGTAATCATGAGGACACCATGTGATTATAAAGAGGACATAATTAATGATTGTTAAAAGGATACAGCAAATTCACCACTGCAGTTTAACTGAATTTCACGCCGATAGTTAAGCCATATAATGATCGGAAATCGGAATAGTGATTACCAAAAACTGAAGCGTGTACCCCCACACAGCCCACTTTATACCTCACTGACAGGGCTCCCTGAGGGGGAAGTTCTAGATTATCTCACGAGCTCACCATGAAGGGCTATACAAGCAACCAGGAACCACTCTAAGTATACAAAGAACCCGGCTCTATATTTAGACCAATTATTCCATATATGGGTATTGCTAGGTGACACGCATTTTCCTGTACCGCCAGAACCGCAATTCTACATTCGAATAAGCCAATCTTGGGGTACACTCCTATCTTAGGGTAGAAATATTATAATATGCATTCTCTTTCAAAGGGAAACCACCCAATTTGCTATTGTTCGGGCAAATCTACCTAGGAGTAGGATATGTAGCTAGATACTAGATTTGAACCAGGGCGGGTGTAGCAGCCACACCCTAGTTAATAGTAGGTCACGTGACATAACAGCTCTGAGCTTCCTAGCTGGTTGTGATTTGTTCTATTTATAGCCGCACTTCGCGAGTCAGTTTATGTGCGATAGTAGTCACAGGGGACGATGTTTTATGAGATACTATGAATAGAAAAATATCAATTAAAACTATATGTTAAACTCAAAAACAAGCTGTAAAAACACCAGTCGAGAGGAAGATTAGGAAGTAAAGAAAACAAGATCTTACCTAGAGAAATTCTTCTTCTCTTGAGGGTAGGAGTACACCTTAAGATATCCTCCTCCGTTTCGAAAGGAATCTCCCCGCTAATGATGATGAATAGTAGGACTCCCAGACACCAGCTCTCCAGACTCCAGCCGCTGTACCGCTGGTACCGGACCCACTCCGGAGGAGAATAAACCTTCGTTCCTTGGTAATCTGTATACTCGTCCTCAACAAACGCGCCCGAACCAAAGTCGATGAGTTTGATGTGACCGGTTTTTACATTTATCAGGACATTCTCGTCTTTGATGTCCCGGTGGAATATTCCTCGGCCATGGCAGTACGCAATCGCTTCTACGATCTGAAATAAAACAAATTCAAATCTCCAATCCAAGGGATTAACTAAGTCCCATTTCAAACAAAATTTCCCATTCAATCCTTCTAATGTGCTCCTTATCTTGAGTCTTATCTCACCTGTTTGAAGATCCTGCGAGCACAGCACTCATCAAGAGGATTCCTAGAGGTGAGGTAATCAAACAGGTCGACATATTCAGGGGACCAATCTGTCACGATGATGAACTCGTTGTTATCCTCAAACCAGTCCACAAGTTTGATTATGTTGTTGTGTTTCTTGAGGTGTTGGAGTAAAGCTATTTCTGCGGGGATGCTTTTGCCGTGGATCTGAAGGACGAGAATGGGTCAGTCTAAATTGAAACAATCGCGAAATCTTTGCAAGTTTCCAACAACAGTAACTTTTCTAAACTCGTTAAATACGATATACTGATGCGAACAAATAGTATAAATCAAATAAAACTTTACACATCGATACAAGAAAATGAACTAACCGTGTAGCTTTTGGGGACATTATTCTTGTGAACTTTCTTGATGGCAACTTGTTTACCGGTCGTCTTACAAACGGCATTTAACACAGCTCCAAATCCACCGCTCCCGATTTGTCGACCAAGCTGATAGCTTTCGACCAAGCGACGCTTCCGACAGACTGACGAATACACGTGTAATTCAGGAGTTGTCAACATGATTGTTTTTATGAAGGACCAGGAAGTGTATCCAAGTGTAACAAACAAACGAAACAAATTTAAACTGTGTGCCGTGTGATCTTAACAATCCTAATGGAGATATATTAAGCGTGAGGTCAGCTGTCGTAGAGAGCACTGAGCCTAGAGTTGCGTGTGTGAATAAAACAATGCTACGGCAACCAATAGGAGGCCGAGGCGTTATATCCACGTGAAGTACTCGTGACGTGACGGTGTGATGTTGTTGGCCGAGCTGAATCACGTGGAGCAATGCGGTGCGGTAATTGGTCCTCCTGAATTGCTGCATCCGGGTATGGCTGCCTGCATTACTCATCATACTTAAAAACTGTTGGATGAGCCCCCCATCGATACGGTGATATTGTTTATGCACTGTCCACAGGAAAATCTCACAGTTGTTTGTATAAACCATGTATGCTCATAATTATAAATGACGCAATCAATGAAATCTACCAACAATTAGCTCTAGGAAAGCTAATTGCTTTAAGATTCAACATCTTGGCGGCAAGGTAACGAGCAACACGTGACCAGCATGGAGTGAAGACCATGTGATTTATAATGAGTTAACGAGCGCTTTATGAGACCACTGAGTACATTTAATTGTCATGAAATTATATGAATGACTACATAATTTGTTGGTCACATAGAAATGAAGCATCGAAAAAAGAGGGGTGGGTCTTAGATTAATTATTAATTGCATCTACACGGCACAACATTGTCATTGAAAAATCTTTTATATAAATTATGAAAATAAATAATTGTTAGACAAGGAGAATAAGCGGAGTTTCATTTACTTGAGAGATCTTTGGGAAAGAAGCCATCTAGGATTTCTTCGGGGATCATTTTGAGCTGTGAGGTTTCTTCAAATCCTATTTTGGAGCATTAACTGGGATCCCGCGATAGCTAAACTGATTGAAAGGTCATTAGCATTTATTAATGAAAAGTAATCAGTTCTGATAAACAATCTAAAAACGGATCAAGCTTGTAACATAGTATCGTGTATTCAGGGCATTTTAAACGAATGGAAACATAATATATCAATATGCTGTTTATCGATTGACGCACAAGGTCTGTCAGACTTGTGAAAAACATAAAATTGCCAACGTTATATTGGATTAATATAACAAACAATAAAAGAATAAAAAATACGATAGGTTTAATTTTGCGTTTAGTCCTCGAACAAAAAACAGTTCAAGGGCGATATCACCAAATATGTTGCTTTCATGCTGAATCAAGCCACACGTAGACAGAGAGGTCAATACTTAAGGGTTGAAATCTACTCGTATACTGCATTATATACAGCAGTGAAGACTGTAACTAGCTGTGAAAAGGCGATCATTGATTATTGAATATTGATTCCCTGCAACGCATAATACGGTGAATGAGCTATGTAAATTAACACTATTTCAGACTATTCTGTTGAATTGCAGTACGGCAATACTCAAACAACAGACTAACAAATTGCCGGACAGACGGCACTACACAAAACTCACAAGAACTAGAGCTTCTGTGCAGTGCTTCTTGGCGTCATTATGACTACAGCATTGTTTGATGTGCCATCAGTAATTTGAACAGCATAAGAGGAGCTCATTATGATGTGCAATTTCCATATCAAAATAAGTTATCTAACATAGCGTACTCGGTGCGAAATAGCACATTTTACCCGGAATTGTGGAGTGAGCTTTGTTCCTAGCCCGGCACAAACAAATGTCGGTTATAAAAAAATCAGTATCTGTGATTTTCCACAAAGGTTCTTGTCTGCAATCATGAAACAAATTAGAATATTATATATCGAGACTTAGTCTTAAGTAGAACTCACGACAAGGTGATTGATAAGGATCCTCGCTGGACACAAAACGAATTACAGCAACTATACTAAAACTTAAAAGTAATCGATAGATCCTGGATCCAATGAATCAATTAATTGAGCGACTTAGTGCAACTTGGACTTCGTATTGATATTCGACAAGGGCAGGGCGTGACTTCACTGACTTAAGATGCGGTCGTGACGAAAGGCAAAGGACTCCCGTGGACATACTACTGCTGCGCGCGCACACTGCACGCTTCAACTTCAAATCCCTTTACATTACATTTCGCACGTTCGCATTTCTGATTTCGTTGTGTCAAGTCACCACACAATATGTTGTATGGTTACTGAAAATGTACGATGTATCGTTATCTCTAGAACCTCACTTTTATCGAAATAGAAATTCGTTCAACTTCATGTTATTGTATGTTATAGAGTTTTGGCATCAATTATTCACTAGAACTTTCTAAAAAAGGACACGTAATAACAATGTTTTGTCAGATATAAATTGCGTAACTAGCAAGTTTTGCAAACTCAGTTCTCGTCAATTTGAGAATTTTAGTCAGGCAAAATTTGCAACCCAGCACAAGCGTTCGAGCCTGTTGCTCCTGTTTGCATTTGTAAGGCTAACCATTACGACATAGCACACTATTAACTTTGTTTTTTTGTTGACATTTTCACCTCATACTGCTAATTAAGCGATGTAAAAGACTAATGAAATTTGTTAACAAATTGGTTAACTATAGTAGGTTATCTCGCCAAATCAATGAACCTCGTAGAAACCTAAATATGACGTCATGCTGAAGAAACAAACTTCGTCTAAAATCTGCTAGACGACTATTTTCATTAAAATTGTAGCTAGCTTCAATAGATATACAGCAACATCACGGAACACTTTTAATTAATACATGACAGTGAATTACCAGCTCGACTAAATTACAAGTTGAACTAAAAAGCGTGACCAGATCTCAACGTGCCGTCCAAACACTGTCAATATACAGTGCCTGCCGTCAGCTGTACTCCTCAAAGTGTGGCCAGACATTCGCTGAAGCTAATAACCTAATTAGAAAATCGGCTAGTATACCAATCACAAACTGAAGTTTTTTTGTGCCATGGCACTGCTGTTGGACCGTCAAATTGCCAGGCCATCCAGAAATCAGGATTTCAATTATATCTGTAATTTAGCATATGACAAGAGATAATGGCAGACGTTATGATTAGATTTAATGTTTTATCGTCAGGGAAAAGATTAGACCTCCGCTTCGATTTTACTATCACTTGTTTATTGTAGAACTTTTATTTAATATCAATATCATAATCTAATAGTTAGAAATGCTATTGTCATAATACTGACAATAGATTGTAAAATTCATGCTGAACTGAATAAATTGGATATTTGCTAGCTAAGACAGAAGCATCGTTGGATAGCTATGAATAACAAATCAATCAATTTGAAATATTCAAAATAGCTGATGACTTAAATAATGGTTTCGTGGGTGTTACTGTATCCGCCTCTGCCAACGTCAAGTATGTTAAAATTATTGCGTAATCCAAGTAATTTATGCTTCATACCCCTCCGTTTCAATTTCAGTGACTAAATACGGGTGGCGGATATCGTGTTTAACGTCACTGAGGCTTGGTAAAACATTAACAATGATTGGTTAAGAAACAACTATTTGTGAAGTTTCATGGGTGGTTCTTGTGCATAAATCTTGAAGACCCAGAAAGATAACTCCCTTAAATTGACTAGACATCCAATAAGGTGAAGCAGTAGGAGATTTAAAATGTTAATAACAAAAACCAAGTGTTTTTAAAGTGATAGTAAAGTAAAGCTGGTACTGTATTAAAGAAACTGTTGAACACTTTTTGATGCCATTGTGTCAACAGTATGGCACGCCTTGCTGAGTCGGTGCTAGTGTAACTTTTACTACAAGCCATTTAATCTAAAAAATGAAAGGCCGGCATTGGAAACAGAGTTAATATTCTGCTTGATGCTGTTAAAAATGAAGCCATGCGAAGTTGCTGTCAAGCAAAGTGGTAGGATAAGAATTAGTACTATTTTGAATTGCTTGTCCACGTTGGTAGGGCTTTATAAATAAGCTCAATTCTCAGAACATTATGAATGAATAAGATAATAATTGTCTGACAAGTAGATGTCAAAGGAACATTAGTGTTTAAGATGCTTCAATAAGATGCGTAATAAAGATAGCAAGCAAACTACAGGAAAATAAATACAGCCATTTTAGAACAAACGTAGCTATTTTAGGCTCGGTATGAAATTATGTCAATATTTAAACAGGCCCTCAATTAGTAAATAATTTGATGATAATTAGCAGTTAATGGTTAAGGAAATGTAAACAGACAAGGAAATGTAAATAAAATGCTTGAATGCTCCATTAAAGTATGAAGTAACCGAAAACTGCAATTTTACCCCTGTCAGCGTGATTAGGATCTGTGTTATCTAAGATGAGTTGATAAAACTGTTGGATGATGGTGTTTGTAGTTTCACTGTCACATTAGCTAATTATTTAATTAGTGAAAAGTTTCACCCCAATTTTGTAATAGCATCTGTTGTCGTTATTTGGTTCAATTAGGAGTTTCCCTCTACTAATGTCACACTAATATCAACAGTTTTTAATCGACGACAATCTTTGTGAAAAGTTAGCAGTATGATTTACGGTATGGCATTCACTAATCGATCCTCTCATCACAAAAAAACCAAACAAAAGTAACACTATAACCTTTCTCTTCTTAACCTCGGACGAAACCATGAGGCCATAGAAAATATCACTAAACAGCAGACAAAGCCCTAGCATCAACAGCTTTTAATCGATGACAATAGTTTTGTAAAGCTATGATCTACACATTGACACTCTCATCACGACCAACTCAAAACAAGAGCTACAATGCTTGTGTCCTCGAACTTCTAGCGAAACCAGGCCGCATATAAGATACTACTAAACAGTACACAGAACAGACATACAAACAATACACGATTTACAAATTACTGCTGTATGTACACTATATATCGTGTGGTATTTTAAAATCAGAAAAAGCACACAATTCTGCTGGGTGTCAAAACTTGCTGGCTGTTGGGTGTTGTAAACATTGGAGAAAGGGAGTGAGGAGGTTTAACCGAGGGGAGACGTTGAAGCAAGTTAAACTTATACGTTTATATGTTAGTATTTTGTTAATAACATGGCTAACGACTCGCAAAATCTGCTGTTCTTAAAAAGTAAAGAAAACCACCGTTGGTTGTTATTATTATGATACCCAAAAGAATTTTCACGCTGCTGTCGTCAATCAAAGTAATACACCACAGTACAGAGTATTGGTTATGAAGCTAGACAGTAAGGTCGTTAGGATTAAACTTTGTGTCTACAAACAGACGCTATCGCCAGTATTCTGTAAAATATTGTAGGGGCATATATTCAGGGTATGCAGTATGCTATGTACATATAATATGCGATAATAATATTCACGGGAGCTTGGGTCAGTAAGTATACAGCTTGGCTTATATCAGAAATGTTTGAAACATGAGTTTGATTAGTTTTGAGAATGTAAATTGAAGTTTGGTGTATTGGATATATCAGCCCGGCTTATCTAATCAGAGTAGTCATTCATCAAAGCAAATGCAAAACAAGCAAATACAAAACAAGCAAATGCAAAAGAACAACGCAGCTGACATCATGACACACCGAAAATATACAAACTTAGAAATAAAACTTCGACAATTCAAGCTTTTCAGCCCAGAAATTCGCCAGATCACCTTGCAGGATTAAAAAGAATTACAGGATAAATGTGTAATTAGCTGTGTGATATAATAGGCAGACAAGTAGGTTGCAAGCTCGAACAATAGGATCACAGATCTGTCGAGCCCGGAATATATCCGCAAATTTAGTTGTACTTATGACGCTAAATTTACCGTGTGTGTGTGTATTGCAGACAGCTGAATAGTGAATATATCTCAAGATACTAGGATATGTAAAGTTGCTGGATGTACAGTGCGTTGTTAATGTTACAAATCATTGGAATTACAAATGTGATTGTTGGAACAGTCGAGAATGGAAAACGGACCATATGAACCCAGCAGGCAGTAAAAAC